CTTCCTTCCTTCCTTCCTTCCTTCCTTCCTTCCTTCCTTCCTTCCTTCCTTCCTTCACTTTCTCTGTCCTTTTTCCCTCAATCCTTCCTCATCCCTCATCCTACCTTGTTTTTTTCCTCTCTTCCTTCCTTTTCATTATTTTCAGCAGATGACACATCTGCACGCAGCTTGTTTAGCTTAGCAGAAAGGATTCAGCGGTCTAGCAAGCTGAGTCTGGTAAAGACCAGCTGATCAAATCTCTTTCCTGATGTTTTTCAGACCCAACTGGTGGTTCTGCGCCTTCCCCTACTCCCTGCTCATCTTCATCTATGATGAAATCCGTAAACTGATCCTCAGACGCAGCCCAGGAGGTGAGTCTAGAACCTCTGCTTTTGTTTTTTGTTTTTTTCTTTCCCTGATCAGCAGGTCGTCCTAAAATCTTTTTTTTTTCTCCTGTCTTCAGGCTGGGTGGAACGGGAGACCTACTACTAAAGACCCCATCAGTCCAGTCGACTGCCGTCTTGTCCTCCACTCCTCCTGTCCTTGCATGAATATTGTCTTGCTGCTCGGAATAAAAAAAAATTTTAACCTCTGTGACAAATAAATTGGAACGTGTTTTTATATTAGGGAATGCTTGATACTACTATTAGATAAATACTGAGACGGAATATGCTGATGATGATGTTGATGATAAATGGTAATGCTAATGACATGAACACTGAACATTGACATGACTTTGCGTGCCTTGTTTCTGAAACAGGACCAATTTTTTACGTGTTTTTAACAGTTATGAACGTTCAATAAAAATGCACTCGAGTCAGGTCCCAGAAAGGCTCCAGTTCTCATTTCTTTATTCTTTATCTTGTTTGTTGTCCTCATTTCTAGATGAATAAATGGAAACAATAAAAAGTGCCACAAAGGTTTTAGTGGATCTAAATGCCAAGAAATGCAGTAAATTACTAAAATGATTTGCCATTTTTATTCCCAGACTTATTGAAAAGTGAAATTTTAAAAACTGATATATTTTAATTATAGCATATGTTCAAGGTTTGAAGTAACGTAACTATTTTAAAACAAGACTTTACAACACTGTAGGTTAGCAAGGCATCCTGCTGAAAATTGCTGCTAAAGATACTGTAGGGTAGAAAGTGCAACAGCAAAAAGGATGGAAAGCCTTTTTTTATCAGGCTGGGTTTCCAAAAGGAAAAGTATTTAAGTAGATTAATTGTACAACTTCTTCCTCCAATTTTCTTCCAGTATTAGGCGGATATTCTCACAATGCAATCGAAGGCCTACTTGAACAATTCCACACAGGATTATAAAAGATCTTTAATCTCTGGGGGTGATTTGGAAGCAACATGATTTTTCTTCTCTGAAGCAAATTTAGTTCATTCCTTTATACTTTAGATTTTCAGATATATAATTTTAATGTGGATATGATACATTTGTATTTCCTTTTGCAGTAAGTTTTGATAGAGTCCAGCAGGTTGATATTTGGGTCAAGTTCTTGAGCAAGGAACTTTACAAAGACAATTCAACCAGTCTTATTGGTTCAATGTGTTCTATATTAGCAAATCAGCTTGTTGCATTCAGTCATTTACTGCATAATTCACTCCACGATGAGAATGTAATGATAGTAGACATTCACTTACATTGTGTTGTTGACTTTTCTTTGGTGAACTAGCTCCATAGATGGTTCTTTGTAGGTAATAAACTTAAGCAGACATGTTCTGAGTATATTTTTATGAATGATCAAGGAGAGCAGATACAGTTACAGTAAAGGCTGAGCCCAAAGCTATGTCTAAGTGAAACAGGGCCACAGCATGGGGAAATAACAGGCTCAACTATATAATTTAAAATCAAATTTGCTGATGGTAGCAAGCCAGCTGATATATCTTTTCAGGACGGTCTCACAGACCAGGTGAAGCATATATGACAAAAGGTAAAGAGAAAATAGAGTTCGGGGATGAACTAACAAAGACTGCAGAATGGGAGAATAGACAGAATGATGAAAAGTGGTCTTTATGTCCTCCAGCAGCTTAAGACTTTAGCAGCATTTTCAGTGTTTTTAAGCCTCCTATTCCCATATTTCTCCATACTTCCTGATTTTTTTTATTACAAAAACTTTTTAGCAGTCGCTATCTGCAAAAACGGTCAAATTTGACTCTGTAAGCGGCATCTAATTACTTCTATTGCTTCTTGAATCAAGCAAGTCTCCCTTTCAAGACCAAATTTTTATTTAATCCAGGCTTGGTCATTCAACATTAAATCCAGATTCCCTAAATCATAATTTGTGATCTTCAATAGCTGTATTTAGTCTGCAGACAGAAAATAAATAATCAAAAAAAAAATACCTTGTTTGGCATCTTAATCAGGTGTAGTCATGCAGGGTTACTTTCAGAACTCAATTTAGATTACAGGCATTTCTTGAAGACATACACATTTGGAGGACTCTTAACTTTCTGCTCCTGAATGTAGATAAAACAGAAGTTATAGTCTTTGGACCAGAGTCTTTGAAAAATAAGCCGATTAGTCAGCCACATAATTTGGAAGAAATTAAATTGATCTCAGGCTATAAATTAAAAAATCCTGGTGTTATTTTTGATCAGGACTTGTCATTTAAATCCCATATCTAAGAGGTTTCTAGAATTTACTTCTTTTCTCTGTGGAATATTGCACAAAAAAAAAAAGAAATATTCTGTCCAGGGTGAGTCTGAGAAACTAGTCCATGCATTTGTTACTTCAAGGCTGAATTATTGTAATTCTTTACTATCAGGAAGTCCACAAAATGTTAAAAGCCTTCAGCTGATTCAAAATGCTGCAGCCAGAGTTCTGATGAAAATGAAAAAGAGATCATATCTTTCCTATGCTAGCGTTTCTTCATTGGCTTCCTGTTAAATCCAGAATCAATCTCCAGGTCTACTAGTGTTTCGTAGAATTTTTCCTCTCCTGTGGAACCAATTATCAGTTTTAGTCAGTGAGGAAGACAACCTTTGTGCTTTTAACTGTAGGCCTAAAACCTTCCTATTTGATAAAGCTTATAGTTAGCGAGACACTGTTATGATGCTATAGGCTTAGACTGCTGGAGGACATAGGGACCACTTTTTCATCATTCTGCTTCATTCTATCTCTATTCTCCCACTCTGCAGAACTTGTTAGTTCAAATCTAACGTTCTGCTCTCTCTGCTTTTTCTCATAGTAGCTTTGCCTCGTCTGTTCCTGTTTGGCTGTGACACCATCCTGGAGAGAAATATCAGCTGTGCTGCTGCCATCACTACGTTTTCATAAAGATGTTCGAGATTTACCTGTTTTTCAGTATAGTCCTGTTTCTCTGATTGTGATTGGCTAGATGTGCTCTCCTCATCCTCTGTTATGGGAGCTGGCTCGGAGCTCGTCTGCCTGGCTTTGTGTGACAGTTGCTTTTTGTATCTCTCCTTCTGTCTCCTTGAACCCCAGTCGGCATTGGCAAATGGACGCTCACACTGAGTCTGGTTCTCCTTAAGGTTTCTTCCTGTTAAAGGGAGTTTTTTTTCTCTCCACTGTCACTACAAGCATGCTTAGTAGATGCCCAAAAATACTAGAATAAAAGAATTGAAGAAAAAAACTACGTTTAACATAAAAAAAAACAACCTTTGAATGTTAGGAAAGGAGGAATATTATAAATCTTAATAAGGTATAAAATAATTTTTTTTCAATATTGTTTACTGTCAACCCAAAAGGGAACCTAAGTAGGGGAATTTGATAATTATGCATTTAAATTCCCTAAAGTTTTACAATGAACGTTTCAATTCGGATCCAATTTCTGAGTACTGTGTTTTAATGACCCATATTGTAACAATTACAGGTTTTTAATCATAGACTTGGCATCTTATTCTTTGATAACTCCTCTATTAATGCTGCAGCAGAGGCTGTCTGGCTCATTCTTTCTTGAAGCTCTTAAAACAAAACACCACGAATCGCGTAATTACCTCCTTGATATTGAAAAGTCTTTAATAACATTCACTAAATACAGTGTATTATAGAGTAAAATTTTGTTTTAGGTCTTTGAACATTAAAAATGAACAGATGAAACTGGGACACGTTTCAAACAGAACCATGAGAAGCAAAGAGATAGAAGGCCCCTCCATCTCTGTTGAAGTGATACAGTTTATTTCATATTCATGCCAGTAGAAACTAGGTCACAGTTTAATGAGATAGATATGCTGACCAAATCTGCAAACTGAACTCCGTTAGGAACTCAGCTTCCTCTATGTCTCCGATCTTGTCAAAAAAACTGCAGAAATCACTGGAATATCCTGTTAGCTGTGGTCGCTGAAGAAAAACAGGGAATTGACTCCATAAATCAACCCACCTGAGGAAGACATTAACAGTTCAAAACTTAAGCTATAGAATAAAAAAGGATCTTAGACATTTTGAAGAAAGAGATAACAGTAATTTAACAAATACCCCCAAAATGATTTCTTTAGGTGTAATAATTCAATACTATTATACTCCTCTAATGAAGTATGTCACTTTAAATCTGCAGGTTTACTAGTAGGTACTAGAATTAGTAGAATGGTAGGTAGATCCTTTACTTATCCAGCTCCCCAACTATGGAAACAACTACAGGTTTTAGCTCGTGAAATAAGACACTCTTTCTATATTGGCTTTTAGGCTGTATTAAAACTTTCCTTTTTGATAAATCTTATAATTAAAGTAGCCAAGGTTGTCCTGTGTTATCTCAATAGCTATGCTGCTATAGGCTTACGCTGCTGGAGGACATAGGGACTTTTTCTGATGTTGATCCTCCACTTCTATTGTATTTTTTGTTTCTGTCCCTTCCTTTTATTAAGCATAGTAGCTATATCCGGTGTGTTCTTTATTGGCTGTGAGATTATCTTAGAGGGAAGAATCAGCGGAGCTGTTAATATCAACACCTTAGGTTATAGATCACAGAGTTGACATGACATGAAAACTGGCTCATAACTCATCTACTTAAATGTTTCTTTTGCAGACAGAAAATACCTGTAAAGCTAGTTTAATGTAACACTGTTGCATAGAAAGTATATGGATCAGTGTTTGTGTGTTCTTTTTATGTGTTAACTGTAGAGGCAGACAGTTTTGATTGCATTATATAAATTTTGGTTCAGTTCCAATTCACGACCATTAGTGTCTCAACCCATTGTTCAGTCCAGTCCAATCATAAAGAGTGTATAATTGAAATTTAACAATAGCTTTCAATGCAGTCAGGTCAATTTTAGGATTACAAAGTAAATAATATTGTTGTCAGTATATATACTGCCAGTGTTGCTCGTGTTTTGTATCATTGAACAGCTGCTTGTTCAGCCGTGACAGAAGATAAGCCTTGAAACGACAAAGATTACAACAACGGAGGATGTCACTTGAAAACAGTACAGCTCAGTAGCTTCAGCCCTTGTCTTTGATATTACTTTTATCATCAAACTATAGATTTCTTTTGAATATTCTTACTTACTTTCTTAATGTACTGCATGTCCTTTAGGTATTAAGGCATAATAATAAAAAAAAAGGATGATATATCTTGGGTTTATTATCCACAGGTCTAAATATGAA